CCTGCCGGGTTGGGGGTCCTGCCCAGCCCAGGGCCATGATCTGGGTCCCCTCCCCCGTTCTGACCCGCTCCCCTCTCCCCTGCAGAGAGCATCCACAAGCTGAAAGAGAAAGCCAAGAAGCGGAAAGGTCGAGGCTTCGGCTCAGGTGAGGAGCAGCCAACGTGTCTGTGGGGTGTCCCCCCACCCCTCTGGGCCTCGCTCTCCCCGTTCGGCTTAAACACTTCGGAGAGGGCTGCGCCACGAAATCCCGGCTGCCTCTGTGCTTTTGGGGGAGTTTTAAGCGGGTTTGTGGTTCTCTGGGTCCTGTTGTCCTCCTGGGTGATGGCACCAGTCGCCCATTTCTCGTTTTCCCCCTTTGCTGTGCCCAGAGGAGGGCTCGCGAGCCCGCGTGCGTGAGGACTACGACAGCGTGGAGCAGGACGGGGACGAGCCGGGCCCGCAGAGGTGTGAGTATCGCCGGAGGCGCTTCCCCAGCCCTCAGCGCGGGGAGACTGGGGGGGAATGGGGGGTCTTCGGCGCCGTATGGGGGTTCAGACCTTGCTGGGACGGAGCCTTTCCCTGCCTTGCCGGCATTTATCTCAGGCTAAGCCAAGAGCGTTGGTCTCCAGGGCTCCGTCTCCCCTTCCCACCCCCATACGCCTCACTCTGCGCTTCAGCGCAGTTTTTGGGGGGACAGAACCCCTTCCCTGAGGCCCCCCAGCCCGTGTGGGAGCGCGCCCTGCGCTCGGCGTCACCCTTATCCCTTTCGCACCGCAGCGGTGGAGGGCTGGATTCTCTTCGTCACGGGAGTGCACGAGGAGGCGACGGAAGAAGACATCCACGACAAATTCGCGGAGTACGGCGAGATAAAAAACATCCACCTGAACCTCGACAGACGGACGGGGTACCTGAAGGTAGGAGGGGGGGAGGGGGGGGGCTCCACGCGGGCTGCGTTTGACCCTCGAGCCTCTCGGTGGCTTTGCCACCTCCATTTTGGCATACAGGGTGTTTGAATTTGTCCGCGTGGCGCCGGCTGGACGCGACACAACGCTGGTGTGCTTCCCCTTCCCCGCCTTCGCCGAGGAGGCCGGGATGGAGCAGGGCTCGGGGAGGGATTTTTCCCATCTTGCTGCCGGGATGGCCCGCGGGCTCACGCTCCCTCCCTCCCCCCGTAGGGATACACTCTGGTTGAGTACGAAACCTATAAAGAGGCGCAGGCGGCCATGGAGGGGCTGAACGGGCAGGAGCTGATGGGACAACCCATCAGCGTGGACTGGTGCTTCGTGAGAGGGCCCCCGAAAGGAAAGCGAAGGTAAAGGGGGAATTTCTTCCCAATATCTCACCTCAATCTCCCCTCTGTCAGCGTCAAAGCGTTCCCCCTCATCCCACGGCTCCCCTCCCTGATCCAGAGTCCCTCCCCAGCTCTCCTGGAGCCCCTTTAGGGGCTCTGAGCTCTCCCCGGACCCCCAACTCTCCCAGCCTGTCCTCCCAGCAGAGGGGCTCCAGTCCTCCCAGCATCTCCGGGGCTTCCTCTGGCCCCGCTCCACCAGCTCCGCGTCACACAGCAAAATCCCCACGTGGGCCGTAAAAACCCATGAACAACCCCCGACACGCTCTGCCCTCTCTTCCAGGGGCGGGCGCCGGCGGAGCAGAAGTCCGGACAGGAGACGCCGATGATGAATCCAACTTTCTACCAGTGCGTTCCGAGTCCAAACTGGGAGAACTGGGAGGGAAAAGGGGAAGGGGGGGAGGGGAGGGGTTTGTACATTGGGGATGGGGCATTTGAGGAACGGCTGGAGGAGTAAAACAGTTCACCGCTTCGGCAGATTTGCTTCTTAACCGGATTTTTATTGTTTTCAAACGAGAAAACTGGAGGGAAGAAGCGAGGCCGGAGGTTTCGAGGGGGTTATTTTCACTTGCGGTGGTGGTGAACGCGGCCCCCGCGCCCGGTTACGTCCCAAACCGCGATGTTTTTAAGCATTTTGTTACGCCTGCAAGTGACCCGGCGTTTGGGCCGCTCTTCTTTTGGAGAGAAATTGTTTTCTATACCCCGGGCAAACATTCCTTACATCTCCGGAGGGGTTTATTCTGTTGACTTTCCGTTTGCGAGTGAACTCGGCCTTTTAAATAACCCTGATTTTTGTGTAAAATTGTCCTCTCGTTATTTGTCCTTAATTAAACATGCTGAGAAGCTGTAACCCAGCCCCGGTTCCTTTTGTGCCTCTTCGCTAATTTTAGATTCGCCTAAAATCCTTCAATGTCACCCTTGCGGCTGGCGGGAGAGCGACCTATTAGTTGAAAAAGCCGTTTGGGTTTTTTTTTTTTCCCTTAAAATAGCATTTGGAAGCGACGGGTTTATTCAGCCGTGCGCTGTTCCCCGTCCCAGCCGGGGGGGCTCTGTGCCGCTTGGCTCCGGGAGCGCCGAATTCTGCCCCGGCCCCAGCGCGGGGCAGGGGGCACGTTTTAAATTCTATATTGATTATTATTTTTTGCCCCTCCTTCCCCCGAGGAATCCCCTACTGCGGTTTTTAAAGGAATTCAGGAATTCCCATCCCGGATTTCGCTCTCTGCCTGAGGCGGCGCGCTTTGCTTCTGGCTTATCGTTGCCGGTGCCGTTAGACCCTCCCCGGCGCGGAAATGTGCCGGTGATGCCACAGTGCCGGCTCCGGTTAAACCGTCTCCTGTCCCAAAGACGGACTCCTGCTGAGAAACTACCGGGAGTTCATGGTTGGGCGGCGCAGAGCCCCTGTGTCATCCCCCCGCCCCGTTTTTGGGGGGTTCCGCGGGTCCGGCTCGGCCTCCCCGTCACATGAAGCTCTCCACCGTCCTCCTCCGGCACAGCTCGCACCTCCGTCCCGGCGGAGCTGCGCCCGCCATCACCTCCAGCTCGTGTTTTCCGGATCCCTCCGAGCTGTTGCCGGTTCTCCTGGCCGGCACGGCCGCGGTGGAGACGCGGAAGGAACCGGTGAGGGCGGAGGCGACCTCCTGCTGGTGCCGGCGCCGGCCGCAGCGACAAGCGCGCCACATCTCCCTGCGGAAATGCACCGTGAAGAGCCCGTAGATGAGCGGATCCAGGCACGTGTTGAAGAGGCCGAAGAGGAAGAGGATGTGGCTGAGAGACGGCGGCACCTTCTCCCGTGTCAACATCTCCGGGGAGAACCAGTACCAGAGGCCCAGGAGGTAGTAGGGCGTCCAGCAGACGATGAAGGTGAGGACGATGACGATGGACATCTTGAGCGTGCGCATCCTGGCCCGGGGGATGTTGTTGTAGGAGCGGCGGAGCTGAACCTCCCGGGAGGAGACTGCGGGGTGGAAACGGAGGGAGAGGTGGGAAGGGGTGAGCTGGGATGCAGCACCCAGCGGGGGATGGAGAGCGTTGGGTTGATGAGTTGGGGAGAGGGGACCCGAGCGGGGTGCAGGACCCCGGGGAGGTGGAAAAGGAAGAGGAGAGCGGTGATGGAGGAAAGGTGGTGGAGCGCTCTCACCGCCGGCGTCCTTCATCCTGCCCGAGATGGCGGCGAGGATGCGGC